ATAGACTTGAAAGAAATAAGTCAGCAAAAAGTGGTCCCAACGGGCTTGCCATTGCGACGCCGTCGATCTGACGACATAACTGACCGTTGAACTGGAACTGAATATTTTTGGTACAAAATAGTAACAATCTTAGTTTTTCACTACTTATTGACATACTTGTTATTCTCCGTTGTTTTGTTGGATCGAATTGTTCGACCTCTATTGGCATATGGGCTACTATGCGGACACCTCGATATTGCCTGAATGTTAATTATGATAAATTGGTTGGTTGTGGCTAGCAGAAGAATCCAGGACGTGCGTTTCGTCCTATTTGGTTCGAGGTTCGAATCCTAGTAGCAACAACATCACTGGTGTGCAGGTACATCCAGCTGACGAGTCCCAAATAGGACGAAACGCGCGTCCAGGATTTTTCTGTTGGCCATAACCAACCAAATTATCAATCTTAGCTTTGTTTGACATAAGTAAATGATTCACTCCGTGTTATCATGCCTCAGTCAATGTCTTAGTCTGTATTGTGTGTATGTATTCCTTTATTGAACAACAGTAAATAAACTCAAGTAACCTCGCCTGGTTAACTAGTTCACTAGTTACTAGCCGGTCCTAAGCCCGGGTAAACAGGGAAGGTTGCGCGTAGGGCTAGCAACCCTACCCCGTAAAACAAATCCAACCGCTAAACAAATTTCAAAGCACAAACAAAATATAAAAAATGAAAACAAACTTATTCCTCGCTGGAATCGGAGAGGTGAAATGATGCCAGTTGGTGAAAGCCTGACTTCGGGAAGCCAATTGGCCGATGTGTCTTCTCTCGATGAAAGCGAAAGTAAACGTGGGGACATGGAATGTCCGTACGATGTTTGAACCCAGTAAGGCAGCCCAGATTGCAAAGGAGATGAGAAGGTATCACATCGAAGTGCTTGGGATTTGCGAAAGCAGATGGAATGGGAGTGGAGTCTCCCAACCGTCAACTGGAGAATCAATAATCTACTCCGATATTGTCACCCACACGACAACCTCGAGCACACTGAGTTATGGAGTGGCTATCATAATGTCCCCAAGCGCATCGAAGGCTTTCATGCAGTGGGAACCAATCTCATCCACCATCAGGATCATGACAGCAATGTTCAACTCAAAAGGAAGGAAGGAAGGAAAGTCACAATCATTCAATGCTACGCTACGCACCTACAAATAATGCAGAGCAAGAGAAAGAGAAAGAGGAGGAATTCTACAGACAACTGCAACCAATACTAGACAAGACCTCAGTTGGCGGCATACAGAATCCCGGCTGAACGTACAGATAACGGTGACCGCCTATTGCAACTATGTTCAGATAACCGCCTATTTTTAGCTAGCACCCATTTCAGAAATAAGAAAAGACCCTGTCTGACGTGGCGTCCACCGAGCTCAACCCAGAGATAGACACAGATAGACCACATTAGTATTAGTCATCACTGGAGAGGATCGGTGGAAGATTGCCGCTCCTTCTGGAGTACATACTTGGATAGCGACCACGCGTTGGTCCGAGCGCGTGTATGTCTGCGTCTCAATGGACGTTGGAAAAATTTGCAACAAAACCACCACGAGTACTGCTGGACAACAAGAACACCAAGGCCATGTTCAGTGAGAAGTTGGCTAGGCAGTTATCGGAACAGAAGACTATCACTCGGTACTATCACATGGTACCATCTCCAGTCTGTTGTAAAAGCAGCTCTGAAGACTGTAGCCGACTCCGAGAGAGTGGCTAAAAAGAGCCAGTGGATATCAGGAGCTTCTGAACTAATGGATGCACGCGAACGCATCCCTGCAGGCCCCGAGTACAATGAAGAGCGGGCACAACTTGAAGGTAGACTGAGAAAAAGTCTGCGCAACGACGTGAACAATGGTGGGCAGCCAAGGCTAAATAGATGGAAAAGGCGGCAGCGACTGGTAACAGCAGACAGTTATTTTGACTCATTATGAAAACTTGGGGAAAACGTCTACTGCGGTTAGCCAGACCATAGCGAAGAAAGAGGGATCTGCGATTCACTCGCAGGGGCGACGACCAGAACGATGGGCAGAACACTTCGAGGAGCAGTTTAACTGGCCTCCAGCCACCATTGTGTTGTCCGCTATCCAGTCGGATCCTGAGTGGAACATTGAGATAGGCCCCCCAACACTATGCGAGGTTGAGAAAGCGGTAGGTAACCTGAAACATGGAAGGGCAGCAGGACCAGACGGACTACCTCTTAAGATATACAAGGATGGTGGTGGAGTGCTCTTCGTCAGGTTAACGGAAGTGTAAACCAGTATGTGGGAACCAAATACGATCCCCTCTGACTGGTCTGAATCACTGATTATCCCAGTCTTCAAGAAAGGCGAGAAGTCCTCTTGTGATAACCACAGAGGAATCAGCCTGACGAACATAGTGTCTAAGCTTCTAGGTTCTATAATTCTTCGACACATGAGTGGAGCTCGGAAACAGCAAGCCCGAGAAAACTAGGCAGGCTTTAGACCCGGCCGTGGGTGTATCGACCGAATATTCACACTCCGCCAGGTTTTGGAACACAGACACGCTAACCGACTCCCGACAATAGCTGTGTTTCTGGACCTGAAGGCAGCGGCATTCGATTCGATTGGTCGAGAAGTCTTATGGCAATGTCTCTCAGTGAACTGCACGCCGACTAAGTACATCACCGTATTGAAAACTTTCTTCTCGAACACTTGTGGGTGTGTTAGAGCCTATGGTGATATGTCAGATGAGCTGTACTTATCGAGTGGTATCCATCAAGGGTGCCCATTGTCTCCATTTTTATTCAATTTTATCATAGATATTCTTATGGAGATCTCCCTCTCGTCACCAGGTTACGCAGACGTTGACCTAATTGCCGGAGAATTTTCATTTGACCTAGAATATGCAGATGACATTTTCCTGTTAGGCGAGGATGCAGAGTCTTCTGAACACTGAGTGGCAATTCGAGAATGTTTTGGATGCGTTTCTCACCACCCAAATGCAAATTGTTGCTCCAGGACTGGTCATCAGGGGTACCGCAGCTAACGATAGAGAGTGAAGTGGTTAAGTGTGTCGACCACTTCACTTACCTGGGAAGTAGGATCAGCCCTGATGGCTCAGTGGCCGGTGAAATCTCTGCACGGATACAAAGACTTGGTTGGCTTTTGCCAATTTGCGCCACCTGTGATATCCGATTGTCTACTAAGGGTCGCATGTACTGCACAGCAGTCCGCTCTGTTCTATTGTATGGCTGTGAAACGTGGCCATTGAAGGTGGAAGACATGAGAAGGCCGGCTGCAGGTGATTGACCACCCTCGCCTTCGAATTATAGGTCGTATTCCGTGGTGTCACCACGTGAGTAATGCAGAAGTCAGGTATAGAGTTTTGGGGAGAAGAGGTAAGTCGGTTGACTAGGTTGTGAACCTTCATCGACTGAAATGGTTGGGACTTATACTACGTATGCCTAGTCGCCGATTGCCTCGTCACACAATGTTGGCCGAAGTAGATCAAGACTGGAAAAAGGCCCGAGGTGGCCAGAATAAAACATGGCATCAATGTATGAAGTCTTTGACTGTTGGTTTGAGCCATGTGGGGCAATACAGACTAGGTGGTTGGGGTCCGTGGGACAAGAGTAACCAGTGGTTGGAGACCCTAGGTGATATGGCTCAGAACCGATGTCAGTGGCGGAGATGTATACACACATTATCCTCATCTTAACGACGCTATACCGAATCTCACCATTTTCCCATTCTTCCTTTCTCTCTTTTCGTACTTTACATTTCTTTTGACTGAGTTTTCTTCTCTTCAGCTTCTACTTCACTGCCTTTTTGCTTGATGTACTGATATGAGGTGTGGCAACTCGAACCGTTACGCAGTAATGCCTGGTCCTGGGTTGTTTTGGATGGATGGATGAATAGTAACACAGAACCCTACAGTAGTATCAGCAGTGTTGAGGTATCTGTACTCAAACTGTGCAAAATGGCTATGGTCTTCGGTGGGCAGGGTGAAGTAGCCGAGATAGATGAAACAATGATAAGGAAAAGGATATACATTCGTGACAGAAACGTAAAGAAAAAATGGGTAGGTTGTTTACTTCTTTTGTGCATGCAGGCTTTTGGAATCTGGAATAGGACAACCTCAGAAAGCAAACAATCGCAAGATTATGGCATTAGTTCCATTTATTAAGAAATACATTTTTTTTCCGGTAACTGTTGTTTACACCAATGACTACAGAGCATATCGATGTCTGAGAAGGTTGGGATATGATCGCCACATTGTTGTCTATAAGCAGCACTTCATAGGTCCTTTGATAAGATTTCATACTTGTTATGCAGAAGCAATATGAAGTCGTTTGAAGGCTTATATGCACCAATATTACAGCTTGCATAGATTAATCTCCTTAGAGTCACGGACCGAATTTCTTTATTGTACCTATTTCCACTTTACATCACGTCAAACAACAACATCCATTGTAATTCCTTATCCTTTTCATCGAATAAACATCTGCATTCTTATTGGTGCGTTCAAGGTCACTTGAGAATGGCTTAAAAACTCAAAAACTATAGTTTCACCACTTAAGCTAACGCCAGACGATATCAATTAGGAATCAAAGCTTTTCAGATTCACATCAACCAAACGTATTCCTTGGGTAAAAAGATTTACATATTACAATGAATCGCACTGAAAAGAATTACTTTTGTTTTAATGACTCATCCGATTACCCTGTCTTTGCAGACTGTTCCATCTATCTGTAGTTAAAGAAACAACAAACTCAACTACATTAAACTTAAACTCGACGGATAAAAAAAAGTTGGATAAGTGTCTGTGAGTATTTGTACATTTTAAATAAGGAAACAAAGTGAATTTACAGGCCAATCATTGACACATTTAATCTAATCATGTATGGAAACAGTTTCAAAGCTGTATGAAAATATTGGTCAGTAAGAAATATTCATTAGTTAAAAATAATAATAAATACTGACAAATTAAAATGCTACATCAGTTGCCTAGATACTTTTTTTGAGGATATAAATCAAAACATAATCGTGGTGTTGATGAAAGCTGATGTCGTCCAAGTGAGTAATTAGCACCTGTTGTCGTCAATGTAGAAGAAAACCTGTGTGAATTGACATTTTCTGATGTTGTTACCTGAAATTTGGTGAAGAATTCGGTGGAATTGTAAATAGTCATTTAGTAGATTGTAATGTGATAAACTCATAAAAGTTACGATAAATCAACTAAGTTCAAAAAAGTATAACTGAAACGACTGATATTTTGTCCCACTAACTAAACTACGAGGCCTGATCATAACATAAGTACCAAACAATCGATGTACCTAACCCAGTTCTACAGGAGGTCAGTGGCTGTTTGAATAGTTCAATGGTAACGTCTCTGACTACAGCACTGGGTGACGTAGGTTCGAGTCTCAAACAGGGTATCAGTTCCTTTGAGGTTGCAGATACACATTATTAAATCGTGCCAAGGAGCATGAGACCTAGGTTCAATACTTCATACCAATTGTCTCCCACCAACTAATTTCACTTTTCTTATCATGTTCCGCATCCGTGTGTGCTAGATAATTTACACCAGCATTTCACACGATAGGTGGGAGCGAAGTGTGGGTCAGTAATCATCTTCACAAGGCCAGAAATTCACATCAACCTGAAGGATTATCATCTGACGCAGTTTCTGAAAAGCCAGAGTAATATAGCAAAATTTATAAAGAATTGAGTGAACTGCACCGTGGTCTACTAATATGACTGTAGAACGTGTTCATTGCAATTGGGAAATTTAGAAAGGTTTCAGTTATTTAGTCAGTTGTTTGTAATGAAACTACCATGTTGCCAAAACAAACGTTAGACACAGAGAGCTAGGTAAAGAAGGCAAATCAGTTTATGAGGTTGTAAACCTTGACAGTATGAGGTGACTGGTGTGGAGGCTGCATAAAATTGTGTATAAACCACTTTAACTAAAAGCAATATTTTCTTTCCATCGTTTTTTTACACATTCTGTACATTCTTCCTAATGATTGTAAAAACGAATGTTGTTTATATCATCCACACTTTTTTGGTTGTGGCGGTAATTACATCTTTTGCTGCTGGTAATCGTGAAAATATAATGTGCTTCTAACCATTCCGGCTTCTGACTCCGTGACTATTGCCTGTCGTGCATACTAACTGATTGTCTTGGGATTTTTACAGGACCTCTCATCCTACTTCCAAATATTACGACAATCAAGCCGACCAACGACCACTGCGGAGAGCCAATAAATATTGCCTTCTGATTTCTGGAGTATCCAAAAATTGTGGTGGACAAAACTGAAGAGATAACCTTCATTGACAATACTATTTGTGCTATAATGTTTAACTTTTTATGCATCTGTATCATAAGATCCATTTTTCTTGTAAATTATACGTAGTTTGACATTTTGGTTTACTTGACATTCTTTGGGTCCACTACACTGGGGGAAGTCTTATATATAGTGACCAACAGTATACCTTCAAATGTTTCTCTTTAGTTGGTAAAAAGCGAAGACTGACAAAATTGAAATATATCATCAATCTAAAAGGTTTCAGACAGCTGGTTTAAGGCATTTAGAGCAAAGCAGGGTCTTGGGTTCACACTACAACTAAATTAGATGGTTAGAGACTTTTGTTTATGCAGGAAACAATTGACGGAGGTGGCATATATGATACAACCATCTCATTCATCTACATTTTCATATTTCCATCATATATTTCGAGTTCCTTTCCTAATTTATGGTTTTTGACGTCCATGAACATCTTTATTTCTATTTCTTTGTAATTTGACTTGACGACATTACGTAAATTTCCAGTTGTACTGTGTACTAGCTTAGGTAGTTAGACAGTTTCGCCAGGTCCTGTGTTGTTTCTGTATAGATGATGTATACTGTGATTAAAAGAATCACATCTTTGTAGATTAATGCAATAATCATGTGCAGACATACAAATTTTTTAGAATCCAATAGGAAAAGGACTTTTATGACAAATGGTTTACGTATTTTGAACCATCTGAGTTTTTTTACTCCTGTCTTCACTTCGAAGGCGTCACTGTGCTTCCCATTGTGAATTACTTGGCATGTGGCATCTTCATATAGTTATTGAATGAGGTTGATAAAGGTTTGCTGTATTTCATAGTATTGAAGCAGTTTCCAAATTACCTCTCGGTCGACGCTATCAAAGGCCTTCTCAAAGTCGATGAAGTTGAGGTAGAGAGTTGACTGCCATTCTATGCTCTGATCTATGATGATGCGTAGTGTAGCGTTGCAATTTCGTCCGCACACGATTTGTACTTCCTGAAGCCAACCTGCCTGTTCCGGTCATAGTTTTGAATCCAACGCATCCTTAAGCCTCTCCAGGATGATGCGGCTTAATATTTACTTGCTCTGGGTGGACAGGAGAGTGATTCCGCGCCAGTTCTTGCAAACACTGAGGTCTCCCTTCTTCGGCAGTTTGACAATGTAACCCTTCTTCCAATCAATAGGCAGGTACCTTCTCTTCCTTCCACACCTTCTGCAATAGTGGTGTGAGCATGTCCGCTGTTGTCTCTGCGTCTGCTCTCAGTGCTTCTGGCGGGATTCCATCTGGTCCTGCTGCTTTCTCACATTTCAGTGGCTTTATGGCGTTCAGAACTCCCACTTTTGTTGGAGGATTTATGTTCACTTGTAGTTCTGTGGCTTGGCTGCAGGTGGTATTTGTGGACGAAGTGCAGGTGGTGGTCGATTCAAGAGCTTCTTGAAGTGGTCGGCCCATCGGTTCCTTTCTCTCTCTTCTTTCGTAATTGAATTTCCGTCATCACCTTTTATTGGTTTCGTCTGCGCTGGTCTCTTCCCAGATAGAGTAACCTGGTTATCTGATACAATGTTGTCAGGTCTCTGTCTCTCCTACCTGCAGCCTGTTCTGCTTCACTTCCCAGTGTTTCGTGGAAGTGCTTTTTGTCTTTGTGTGCACTCTTCTTCACTTCTTTGTCCCGTGAAGTGTTTTATACATTGTACTCAGTTCCTCTTGTCGTTGAGCATCCTTGCACTGCATTGGTTTATCTTCTACTTCACCATCCTCCTCTCCCTGCTCTATCAGCTTCCAGGTATCCATCGAGATCCATTCCTTATCTTCTTTCTTCTTCCTTCCTAATACCGCTGTGCAGGTTTCTTTCCACATCTCTCTCAAAGACTCCCAGTGTTCTTCCACACAGGTTTCTTCACGGATGTTCCTCGATATCTCCCATTTTGTCTTGATGGCTGGCTGCCGTGAAGATCTCCTTTGTAGTTTCATCCTTCAGTTTCCGGGTGTTGTACTTGAATTGAGGTCTATCACCAGCTTCCTTGTAGGCTTTTAACTTGATTTGGAAGGTTCTTTGCACTAGATGGTGAGTGGTGTGAACCTACATCTGCTCCTCTTCTTGACCCTGTGTCAAGTAGACTGCGTCTCCATTTTCTTGAGATTTAGATGAAGTCGATCTGATTTTTAGTGTAGTGTGTCCTGGTGTCTGGTGAAATCCATGTCGCTTTGTACACCCCTCAGTATACATGAAAGATATTAATATCCAGTAAGTATATCTGTATAATTAGATAAGTTGTCATTGTTTGTACGTCAGAGTGGGTGGAGTATGTGTATTGTTGACTGCCACATTCTAGTTCGCAAGTGGCGTTCTAAAAAATTATATATATGAAATGATGCACTGCATTTACAATCAAGCTACTATGTTACATGAATTATTGCATATTATCATAGTAGTTTTTGTTGAATTGAATTCAATGAGCAATTTGTTTATTAAAACTTAAACCCAGCAGCTAGGCTTATGTTCATCATCGAAAAAAACTAACCACTTTGCAATAAACCAGTGACAAAGTACAACATATTACTACTGATTTCCTTAGTGGCTTTACACAGTTCGATTTCTTTCGGAGTAGTTTCTAATGTGGACTGATATGAGCTAGAGAACCATTGAAAATCTGTGAGCACTTCACAGATGGTGAACAGTAATTACAGATTTTAAGTAATTCATGAGGATGATGAGGTTTAGGAATAAGATGCAAATAATCAGTAGAGTAATTCAAATCGGTAATATGAAGCAGGTTATTCTTAGGTAAATGGAGTGGTTTATAACGAGTGCTCAGTCTTAAACAATAAATAACTACGTAATAATAAGAAAACAAATGAATATTGATAGAAACAAGAGGGGGGAGAGGTGTACAAAGTAATACTAAAAGTTACATCATGTTGACAGCCATGGTAATGAAAGTAGTCGGACAAACGTTTTTTGAATACAAAGGTTAGGTTTGTAAAGATGAGTTGCAGTCGCCTCTGCTATGTCAAGTAATCGACTGCATAATCCACGTGGTAAATTAGTTGGTATGTGATGAAGAGTTTTGAATGCCTTTCTAGTATCCACCTGATATTCAGTGTCAACTAGGTGTGCAAGTATGGAGCTTTTTATTGTTCTAATTTGTCCCTTGCTCAACTATGATGAGTGGTGCTCAAAAATTAGATGATGGACATACTTCATTGTACGCCTAAAGCAACTAGCTCCACAGGAGCAGTTCAAATGATAAATGCGTATAGAAGTGGCAGAATCAGGCAGTTTTTCTTTATTTTTTGCACCTAGAATCGGGCGGTTGTAGAAGATGGGACATAATTTAGCGACTGTGAGTGCTTTTCGCTCTCCGCTCTTTTTAAGCGTTGTGTGATGATCTCACCGGCAATGTCACTCCTAAACTTCAGTTTCAAGATTTGCTTCTGGTGGCGTTCTTTCCCTAACCTCTGTGACATTCATATGCTAAGTTACAACCTTCGCTGGATAGCCATTCACAGATAGTGGCGAACTCTTCGTCTATAGCATCAACTGAGCAAATAGCTGTGGCACCGTATGCTAGACATTTCATCAGGTTCTTTTTGTAATGGGGGATTACGGCACTAAATAAATGCGTTTATTGACCTGTCGATGTTGGCTTCCTAGATACACTTTGTTTCAGAGTTCCAGCTAACCTTCTTATCAGCAGAACATCAAGAAATGGGATACTGTGATTTTGCTCTTCTTCTACTGTGAAGTTGATTGCCGTATGAACATTGTTGACCTTATTGAGATACTCATTCTTATCAATCTCACTTTTGAAACTATAAAGGTATCATCCATATGACGACAATATTATTCTAACCGACTAATAGTTTCGTTCAGCTGACCGTTCTCTAGTTTTACCAGAAAAAGGCGTGCTTAAAGAGGCCAAGGAGTGACGTCATAGAAGCACTATCAGACAGCCTGTAGAGTTTGTTATTGAAAAGAAGTTGTATGTTCATCGTACACTTCAGCAGTAGGTCTTTCAGAGTGGAGACTGGAATACCTAGTTCCATATCGTGTTTAGCAAGTTCGTTTCAAATGAAGTCTATTGTCTCCATTGAAGGAATTTGGTTGATATTTCAGTTGGATTGTAAAACTATGTATTAGTGTAGAGACCAAGACAAAGACCTAATTGAAAAGGAATGTTTTTTTTCTCTCAATCATTCTTTTTCTAAAATGAAATGGTTTGCCTTTTTGCAAACCACTGTCAATTCCTGATATAATATGACAATCATTTGATGGTTTATCACCTGATATCATTCCATAGCCTTAACTATTCTCAAGTTAATCAAACCTCTCATAAAATCTCTGATTGAATTACAATCCAGTGCATATTAATAACTTGCTTTCAGATGAGTTTCTTGCAGTTCTGATGGAAAATCGTGATCTATCTCGTCAACCAAGTTCGGAGTAAAGACAGGTGACCATTAATTTATTTTACCGTACGATGACGATAGAGTTCCTGAAACTGATAACTATTCTAATGATTTAAATAATCTCTGAATAAAGAGAATGGCTATTTCTTATTTCATCAGTCATCATTTTGCAACAAATCAGAAAGAAATTATCATACACGTCTCTTACTGACAATTTCTATTGGTTTGTTACATAATGCGCATCTGTTGTAGAGAACAACTCATGAAAACACTAGAAACATTTTTTCACATTCTCAAATATTTCCTAGAAATAGGAAGTTACGACCTACTGGATGTCCCTCTAAATTGTGTACCCAGAAGTGTTATCCACTACAAATTTTAGCTTGACATAGTACGTGACGTTACTACGGGACTATCCAAGTTGCCCAACCGCATATCACTACAACAAGATGAGAAGTAAAAAGACGAAAGATAGTCGAAAGCTATAGGATAGAAAGAGGGTGGGGTAGAGCAAAAAAAGAACTTTGATATCAAGGATATGATGAAGATAAATAAGGCTTGAATATTTCTGTACCTCATGGATTCTAGTGTGAAATCCTCTAGCACTTTACATGGATCGAAACAACAGTTAGAGACTTCTCATAACAATGTTTTAGTTGGACGGCTCTCAACTTTTTGCCAGATTAAACCCACTTTAGCCAAAATTGCACATCGTAATAAATATTATCGAGGTTTACGTAACCCATATTCTATTCACTTCAATCAATAAGAAGGTGAATGACATATTTACTAGTTTACCCAAGCATAAAATTAATAACATGGCGGTTTAACGACACAAGACTAATGCTTCAAAGGCAACTGTTACACAGTCCCCTCGGTCTGTAGTAGGCAGCTGAAGCGGCCAAAAATTAAATCACTTGGTTCAATAATTACTGAAACATCATATAATAAATAACGCTAGCTCACTATTTTTTTGGATAGATATATTTCTGTTACTAAGCGACAAAATCTCAATAGTAATCGAAATAACTTAAAGAGGAAGTTTCCGGTTGGTATTTATCATGGGATGATATCAGTTAGAGGAAAAATAGGAACCTGAAGGTACCGTAGAGCTGCTTTGTTGTGGTGCCGGACTCCTTAGCATTGCACACAGACAACTCCACCTGGGATCGAACCCAGAACCTTCAAGTTCCGTGACCATCACGTTGCCATCAAGCCCCTGGTTCGGAATCTAGTGATCCATATTTCTTAATTCTGTTAGTTCACGAAATAACATGGCCTCTATTCAATTTGGTTTCTGGGTAACTGTCTTCATGTTTGACTTGGCCACGACTCCTCACTGCAACTTCAGGGATATCTCTCGAAGCCAGTCATCAATGAGCATTAGATTAATTGAGTTTTGAAGTTTGTGAACTGACAGAAGTAAGAAATACGGATCACTGGATTCCGACCCAGTGGCTAAGTGGTAACGTGTCGGCTACGGAACCCAGAGGTGCTGGGTTCGACTCCTGTTAGGGTCTTAGGTGCACAATGCTGAAGAGCCCCATACTGGGATGAAACAGATGTCTAATCCCCGCAGGCTTTCATTGTTTCTCCAACTGCTTTCACTTCATGATGAATATCAACGCTGAGATTTGTCCAAATATAACATATCCAATGTCAAAGTTGGTTAACATTTGTATTATTACTCTATGATAAAAACTTATAAATTTAATGTAGAGCATTACTTCTATGAATCAACCGACTTCTTAGTGTGTATTTTAATACTGAAATGAAAAGTAAATTATTATTGAACAATATAATGCTTTCTTGATGACTCTTTTCTAAAATGTCACTGACTTATTTCATGCTCCAATTTTAGTAGTCAAAAATACCAAACATCTGTATGAATTCACCTGACTGATAGGTTGATGTCGATGGACTAATATATTTGCCATAGCTGTAGATCCATTTGGACAGGTTCCTGTGGGTATTCCATGTTGTACAGTTCGTGGTTTAGTATACGATGATATTTTTTTCTGTTTTTCTATGGGATAATAATGATTTGATGAATTCCGTGAACTTAACATCTTTTTGGCATTTCCCACGGATAAATGACATTTGCCATCATACAGTCTTTGATCAATTTTCCCATTCTTACAAGTGATAGGGTTTATTTCATTTCGGTAAGATGAATCATAGTTTCTGTTGGATGGTATATCCTTGTTAGGAAGCCGCTGATATTCCTACAAGTTATGTAAGTTAAGATATACCCGAAAATTACAATTAGGATATATATATATGTAAATGGCAGGACTATACAATCTCTCAGTAGATTTGTAAATCCTATAAAATCCACCCTTGAGATACCTAATTATAAAATGATGCGTTCGTAGGTATTTTTAGTCAAGCGAAGTGATTATGGTGTTTGTGAGGGGATATCTGGGAAACAGACAGAAGCGCTCATAAAACCTCCTAAGAGAAGTAGCCTGAAACATTTCACTACACGTGCTGATATAGCTTGCTCTGATGACCAAAAATATTGTTAAGATATTAACATGAGCTCTGCTATCTTAGAGCTGTAATTCATTGGTCAAAGCATTCTACTTTGATCCAGTAGACCCCAGTTTCCAACCATACTCCACTTACAGAGGTCTGCGCAGTCATTAGGCTTCATACAACAGTTTTAGCTCATCACGTATTGCATGCATGTTCACAGGGTTGCAAAGTTGTATTTATGCCTTCTTTATTTCCTTTCCACCATTGCTAGATTAAATATCCCAGTTGACTTTTAAACATCCTCATCTCCGACAATTAGTCTTTTCTTTTACAGTATTATCATTGTTTTCGATAGACCAAGAAGTGGGAAATGCTTTGATGCATTTTACCACTGTATATGCTAAATCCCAGCAATCATTCTGTTAAACTTTGTTGAGCGCTCCATTTTAGTTATAAATAGGGGGTTCTTTCTGGTATGCCATAATATTGTATCTAAAACATTTTGCATATTCAATCTGGAAGTTTGTAGGGATTTATGTATTGATTTCAAGTTGGCATTCATCACGGACTGACATCAGTTGGATAAACATTGCAAACCTGGGAGAACTGGATAGCTGTTTCACCCTTGTATGGGTCTCATCAAAGTGCGCACTTATTGGATGGAGATCACTCTAAGTCGCGAACTAACAGAAGCGGGAAAACGTGGACCATCGCTTCCATAACTAGTGACCCGATTATCATATGTCGACCATGGACCTGTAGGTCCTAGGTTCGATCCCTGGAGGGGTCATGTATACACACTGCTGAGGAATCTCATAGTACAACGAAACAGCTGTCCAGTGATCTCAGGTTTTCAGCAGTTATCCAGCTGATGCCAGTCCGCTATGAATACCACCTTGAAATCATTAAATAAACTTCCAAATCAAATTAGCTTTCTTCCTTCAAGTGATTTCATTAGTAAGATACAACGAGATGTACTTGTTCAGAATTTCCGCCAATGAAATTAATTTCCACTCTATTTTATTTGAGATAACCAGAAAAATATCAACAATTTATGTGTTGAGGACTAGATGCAGAAAGTTATATGCAATACGAGTTGTTCATTGAAGGTTCCATTAAAGTCCTGTGACGAACTAAGAGGAATAAATTTAGAAAAAATGTCAAGTTACTGAATATTTCGATGTTATTTATGTGGTAGTGGCTGACTGTGAAATAGATGATGCTCATTTTTATTCGATTTTGAGCTCATCAGCAGAATTTACCTATGTCCGCCTGAATGACAGAATTCCCACTCAAACTTGGATTCAAAATTCACCACTTCAAACACCAGAGTGTTAACCAATAGAAAACTGACAGGTCATGAGAACCGTCTCTTACGTAACCGTATAGAGATACTAACAGATACTGATCTATCTTTTCCATAGAGAAATTAATTCGGACTTGATTTTAGGTATATATATATATATATATATATATATATATATATATATATATATATATATATATATATATACCTAAAATCAAGTCCGAATTAATTTCTCTATGGAAAAGATAGATCAGTATCTGTTAGTATCTTTATACGGTTACGTAAGAGACGGTTCTCATGACCTGTCAGTTTTCTATTGGTTAACACTCTGGTGTTTGAAGTGGTGAATTTTGAATCCAAGTTTGAGTGGGAATTCTGTCATTCAGGCGGACATAGGTAAATTCTGCTGATGAGCTCAAAATCGAATAAAAATGAGCATCATCTATTTCACAGTCAGCCACTACCACATAAATAACATCGAAATATTCAGTAACTTGACATTTTTTCTAAATTTATTCCTCTTAGTTCGTCACAGGACTTTAATGGAACCTTCAATGAACAACTCGTATTGCATATAACTTTCTGCATCTAGTCCTCAACACATAAATTGTTGATATTTTTCTGGTTATCTCAAATAAAATAGAGTGGAAATTAGTTTCATTGGCGGAAATTCTGAACAAGTACATTTCGTTGTATCTTACTAATTAAATCACTTGAAGGAAGAAAGCTAATTTGATTTGGAAGTTTATTTAATGATTTCAAGGTGGTATTCATAGCGGACTGGCATCAGCTGGATAACTGCTGAAAACCTGAGATCACTGGACAGCTGTTTCGTTGTACTATGAGATTCCTCAGCAGTGTGTATACATGACCCCTCCAGGGATCGAACCTAGGACCTACAGGTCCATGGTCGACATATGATAATCGGGTCACTAGTTATGGAAGCGATGGTCCACGTTTTCCCGCTTCTGTTAGTTCGCGACTTAGAGTGATCTCCATCCAATAAGTGCGCACTTTGATGAGACCCATACAAGGGTGAAACAGCTATCCAGTTCTCCCAGGTTTGCAATGTTTATCCAACTGATGTCAGTCCGTGATGAATGCCAACTTGAAATCAATACATAAATCCCTACAAACTTCCAGATTGAATATGCAAAATGTTTTAGATACAATATTATGGCATACCAGAAAGAACCCCCTATTTATAACTAAAATGGAGCGCTCAACAAAGTTTAACAGAATGATTGCTGGGATTTAGCATATACAGTGGTAAAATGCATCAAAGCATTTCCCACTTCTTGGTCTATCGAAAACAATGATAATACTGTAAAAGAAAAGACTAATTGTCGGAGATGAGGATGTTTAAAAGTCAACTGGGATATTTAATCTAGCAATGGTGGAAAGGAAATAAAGAAGGCATAAATACAACTTTGCAACCCTGTGAACATGCATGCAATACGTGATGAGCTAAAACTGTTGTATGAAGCCTAATGACTGCGCAGACCTCTGTAAGTGGAGTATGGTTGGAAACTGGGGTCTACTGGATCAAAGTAGAATGCTTTGACCAATGAATTACAGCTCTAAGATAGCAGAGCTCATGTTAATATCTTAACAATATTTTTGGTCATCAGAGCAAGCTATATCAGCACGTGTAGTGAAATGTTTCAGGCTACTTCTCTTAGGAGGTTTTATGAGCGCTTCTGTCTGTTTCCCAGATATCCCCTCACAAACACCATAATCACTTCGCTTGACTAAAAATACCTACGAACGCATCATTTTATAATTAGGTATCTCAAGGGTGGATTTTATAGGATTTACAAATCTACTGAGAGATTGTATAGTCCTGCCATTTACATATATATATATCCTAATTGTAATTTTCGGGTATATCTTAACTTACATAACTTGTAGGAATATCAGCGGCTTCCTAACAAGGATATACCATCCAACAGAAACTATGATTCATCTTACCGAAATGAAATAAACCCTATCACTTGTAAGAATGGGAAAATTGATCAAAGACTGTATGATGGCAAATGTCATTTATCCGTGGGAAATGCCAAAAAGATGTTAAGTTCACGGAATTCATCAAATCATTATTATCCCATAGAAAAACAGAAAAAAATATCATCGTATACTAAACCACGAACTGTACAACATGGAATACCCACAGGAACCTGTCCAAATGGATCTACAGCTATGGCAAATATATTAGTCCATCGACATCAACCTATCAGTCAGGTGAATTCATACAGATGTTTGGTATTTTTGACTACTAAAATTGGAGCATGAAATAAGTCAGTGACATTTTAGAAAAGAGTCATCAAGAAAGCATTATATTGTTCAATAATAATTTACTTTTCATTTCAGTATTAAAATACACACTAAGAAGTCGGTTGATTCATAGAAGTAATGCTCTACATTAAATTTATAAGTTTTTATCATAGAGTAATAATACAAATGTTAACCAACTTTGACATTGGATATGTTATATTTGGACAAATCTCAGCGTTGATATTCATCATGAAGTGAAAGCAGTTGGAGAAACAATGAAAGCCTGCGGGGATTAGACATCTGTTTCATCCCAGTATGGGGCTCTTCAGCATTGTGCACCTAAGACCCTAACAGGAGTCGAACCCAGCACCTCTGGGTTCCGTAGCCGACACGTTACCACTTAGCCACTGGGTCGGAATCCAGTGATCCGTATTTCTTACTTCTGTCAGTTCACAAACTTCAAAACTCAATTAATCTAATGCTCATTGATGACTGGCTTCGAGAGATATCCCTGAAGTTGCAGTGAGGAGTCGTGGCCAAGTCAAACATGAAGACAGTTACCCAGAAACCAAATTGAATAGAGGCCATGTTATTTCGTGAACTAACAGAATTAAGAAATATGGATCACTAGATTCCGAACCAGGGGCTTGATGGCAACGTGATGGTCACGGAACTTGAAGGTTCTGGGTTCGATCCCAGGTGGAGTTGTCTGTGTGCAATGCTAAGGAGTCCGGCACCACAACAAAGCAGCTCTACGGTACCTTCAGGTTCCTATTTTTCCTCTAACTGATATCATCCCATGATAAATACCAACCGGAAACTTCCTCTTTAAGTTATTTCGATTACTATTGAGATTTTGTCGCTTAGTAACAGAAATATATCTATCCAAAAAAATAGTGAGCTAGCGTTATTTATTATATGATGTTTCAGTAATTATTGAACCAAGTGATTTAATTTTTGGCCGCTTCAGCTGCCTACTACAGACCGAGGGGACTGTGTAACAGTTGCCTTTGAAGCATTAGTCTTGTGTCGTTAAACCGCCATGTTATTAATTTTATGCTTGGGTAAACTAGTAAATATGTCATTCACCTTCTTATTGATTGAAGTGAATAGAATATGGGTTACGTAAACCTCGATAATATTTATTACGATGTGCAATTTTGGCTAAAGTGGGTTTAATCTGGCAAAAAGTTGAGAGCCGTCCAACTAAAACATTGTTATGAGAAGTCTCTAACTGTTGTTTCGATCCATGTAAAGTGCTAGAGGATTTCACACTAGAATCCATGAGGTACAGAAATATTCAAGCCTTATTTATCTTCATCATATCCTTGATATCAAAGTTCTTTTTTTGCTCTACCCCACCCTCTTTCTATCCTATAGCTTTCGACTATCTTTCGTCTTTTTACTTCTCATCTTGTTGTAGTGATATGCGGTTGGGCAACTTGGATAGTCCCGTAGTAACGTCACGTACTATGTCAAGCTAAAATTTGTAGTGGATAACAACTTCTGGGTACACAATTTAGAGGGACATCCAGTAGGTCGTAACTTCCTATTTCTAGGAAATATTTGAGAATGTGAAAAAATGTTTCTAGTGTTTTCATGAGTTGTTCTCTACAACAGATGCGCATTATGTAACAAACCAATAGAAATTGTCAGTAAGAGACGTGTATGATAATTTCTTTCTGATTTGTTGCAAAATGATGACTGATGAAATAAGAAATAGCCATTCTCTTTATTCAGAGATTATTTAAATCATTAGAATAGTTATCAGTTTCAGGAACTCTATCGTCATCGTACGGTAAAATAAATTAATGGTCACCTGTCTTTACTCCGAACTTGGTTGACGAGATAGATCACGATTTTCCATCAGAACTGCAAGAAACTCATCTGAAAGCAAGTTATTAATATGCACTGGATTGTAATTCAATCAGAGATTTTATGAGAGGTTTGATTAACTTGAGAATAGTTAAGGCTATGGAATGATATCAGGTGATAAACCATCAAATGATTGTCATATTATATCAGGAATTGACAGTGGTTTGCAAAAAGGCAAACCATTTCATTTTAGAAAAAGAATGATTGAGAGAAAAAAAACATTCCTTTTCAATTAGGTCTTTGTCTTGGTCTCTACACTAATACATAGTTTTACAATCCAACTGAAATATCAACCAAATTCCTTCAATGGAGACAATAGACTTCATTTGAAACGAACTTGCTAAACACGATATGGAACTAGGTATTCCAGTCTCCACTCTGAAAGACCTACTGCTGAAGTGTACGATGAACATACAACTTCTTTTCAATAACAAACTCTACAGGCTGTCTGATAGTGCTTCTATGACGTCACTCCTTGGCCTCTTTAAGCACGCCTTTTTCTGGTAAAACTAGAGAACGGTCAGCTGAACGAAACTATTAGTCGGTTAGAATAATATTGTCGTCATATGGATGATACCTTTATAGTTTCAAAAGTGAGATTGATAAGAATGAGTATCTCAATAAGGTCAACAATGTTCATACGGCAATCAACTTCACAGTAGAAGAAGAGCAAAATCACAGTATCCCATTTCTTGATGTTCTGCTGATAAGAAGGTTAGCTGGAACTCTGAAACAAAGTGTATCTAGGAAGCCAACATCGACAGGTCAATAAACGCATTTATTTAGTGCCGTAATCCCCCATTACAAAAAGAACCTGATGAAATGTCTAGCATACGGTGCCACAGCTATTTGCTCAGTTGATGCTATAGACGAAGAGTTCGCCACTATCTGTGAATGGCTATCCAGCGAAGGTTGTAACTTAGCATATGAATGTCACAGAGGTTAGGGAAAGAACGCCACCAGAAGCAAATCTTGAAACTGAAGTTTAGGAGTGACATTGCCGGTGAGATCATCACACAACGCTTAAAAAGAGCGGAGAGCGAAAAGCACTCACAGTCGCTAAATTATGTCCCATCTTCTACAACCGCCCGATTCTAGGTGCAAAAAATAAAGACAAACTGCCTGATTCTGCCACTTCTATACGCATTTATCATTTGAACTGCTCCTGTGGAGCTAGTTGCTTTAGGCGTACAATGAAGTATGTCCATCATCTAATTTTTGAGCACCACTCATCATAGTTGAGCAAGGGACAAATTAGAACAATAAAAAGCTCCATACTTGCACACCTAGTTGACACTGAATATCAGGTGGATACTAGAAAGGCATTCAAAACTCTTCATCACATACCAACTAATTTACCACGTGGATTATGCATTCGATTACTTGACATAGCAGAGGCGACTGCAACTCATCTTTACAAACCTAACCTTTGTATTCAAAAAACGTTTGTCCGACTATTTTCATTACCATGGCTGTCAACATGATGTAACTTTTAGTATTACTTTGTACACCTCTCCCCCCTCTTGTTTCTATCAATATTCATTTGTTTTCTTATTATTACGTAGTTATTTATTGTTTAAGACTGAGCACTCGTTATAAACCACTCCATTTACCTAAGAATACCCTGCTTCATATTACCGATTTGAATTACTCTACTGATTATTTGCATCTTATTCCTAAACCTCATCATCCTCATGAATTACTTAAAATCTGTAATTACTGTTCACCATCTGTGAAGTGCTCACAGATTTTCAATGGTTCTCTAGCTCATATCAGTCCACATTAGAAACTACTCTGAAATAAATCGAGCTGTGTAAAGCCACTAAGGAAATCAGTAGTAATAGGTTGTACTTTGTCACTGGTTTATTGCAAAGTGGTTTGTTTTTTTCGATGATGAACATAAGCCTAGCTGCTGGGTTTAAGTTTTAATAAACAAATTGCTCATTGAATTCAATTCAACAAAAACTACTATGATAATATGCAATAATTCATGTAACATAGTAGCTTGATTGTAAATGCAGTGCATCATTTCATATATATAATTTTTTAGAACGCCACTTGCGAACTAGAATGTGGCAGTCAACAATACATATACTCCACCCGCTCTGACGTACAAACAATGACAACTTATCTAATTATACAGATATACTTACTGGATATTAATATCTTTCATGTATACTGAGGGGTGTACAAAGCGACATGGATTTCACCAGCCACCAGGACACACTACACTTAAAATCAGATCGACTTCATCTAAATCTCAAGAAAATGGAGACGCAGTCTACTTGACACAGGGTCAGGAAGAGGAGCAGATGTAGGTTCACACCACTCACCATCTAGTGCAAGGAACCTTCCAAATCAAGTTAAAAGCCTACAAGGAAGCTGGTGATAGACCTCAATTCAAGTACAACACCCGGAAACTGAAGGATGAAACTACAAAGGAGATCTTCACGGCAGCCAGCCATCAAGACAAAATGGGAGATATCGAGGAACATCCGTGAAGAAACCTGTGTGGAAGAACACTGGGAGTCTTTGAGAGAGATGTGGAAAGAAACCTGCACAGCGGTATTAGGAAGGAAGAAGAAAGAAGATAAGGAATGGATCTCGATGGATACCTGGAAGCTGATAGAGCAGGGAGAGGAGGATGGTGAAGTAGAAGATAAACCAATGCAGTGCAAGGATGCTCAACGACAAGAGGAACTGAGTACAATGTATAAAACACTTCACGGGACAAAGAAGTGAAGAAGAGTGCACACAAAGACAAAAAGCACTTCCACGAAACACTGGGAAGTGAAGCAGAACAGGCTGCAGGTAGGAGAGATAGAGACCTGACAACATTGTATCAGATAACCAGGTTACTCTATCTGGGAAGAGACCAGCGCAGACGAAACCAATAAAAGGTGATGACGGAAATTCAATTACGAAAGAAGAGAAGAAAGGAACCGATGGGCCGACCACTTCAAGAAGCTCTTGAATCGACCACCACCTGCACTTCGTCCACAAATACCACCTGCAGCCCAGCCACAGAACTACAAGTGAACATAAATCCTCCAACAAAAGTGGAGTTCTGAACGCCATAAAGCCACTGAAATGTGAGAAAGCAGCAGGACCAGATGGAATCCCGCCAGAAGCACTGAGAGCAGACGCAGAGACAACAGCGGACATGCTCACACCACTATTGCAGAAGGTGTGGAAGGAAGAGAAGGTACCTGCCTATTGATTGGAAGAAGGGTTACATTGTCAAACTGCCGAAGAAGGGAGACCTCAGTGTTTGCAAGAACTGGCACGGAATCACTCTCCTGTCCACCCAGAGCAAGCAAATATTAAGCCGCATCATCCTGGAGAGGCTTAAGGATGCGTTGGATTCAAAACTACTACCGGAACAGGCAGGTTTGCTTCAGGAAGTACAAATCATGTGCGGACGAAATTGCAACGCTACACTACGCATCATCATAGATCAGAGCATAGAATGGCAGTCAACTCTCTACCTCAACTTTATCGACTTTGAGAAGGCTTTTGAAAGCGTCGACCGAGAGGTAATTTGGAAACTGCTTCAATACTATGAAATACAGCAAACCTTTATCAACCTCATTCAACAACTATATGAAGACGCCACATGCCAAGTAATTCACAATGGGAAGCTCAGTGACGCCTTCGAAGTGAAGACAGGAGTAAAACAACTCAGATGGTTACAAATACGTAAACCATTTGTCATAAAAGTCCTTTTCCTATTGGATTCTAACAAATTTGTATGTCTGCACATGATTATTGCAATAATCTACAAAGATGTGATCTTTTTAATCACAGTATACATCATCTATACAGAAACAACACAGGACCTGGCGAAACTGTCTAACTACCTAAGCTAGTACACAGTACAACTGGAAATTTACGTAATGTCGTCAAGTCAAATTACAAAGAAATAGAAATAAAGATGTTCATGGACGTCAAAAACCATAAATTAGGAAAGGAACTCGAAATATATGATGGAAATATGAAAATGTAGATGAATGAGATGGTTGTATCATATATGCCACCTCCGTCAATTGTTTCCTGCATAAACAAAAGTCTCTAACCATCTAATTTAGTTGTAGTGTGAACCCAAGACCCTGCTTTGCTCTAAATGCCTTAAACCAGCTGTCTGAAACCTTTTAGATTGATGATATATTTCAATTTTGTCAGTCTTCGCTTTTTACCAACTAAAGAGAAACATTTGAAGGTATACTGTTGGTCACTATATATAAGACTTCCCCCAGTGTAGTGGACCCAAAGAATGTCAAGTAAACCAAAATGTCAAACTACGTATAATTTACAAGAAAAATGGATCTTATGATACAGATGCATAAAAAGTTAAACATTATAGCACAAATAGTATTGTCAATGAAGGTTATCTCTTCAGTTTTGTCCACCACAATTTTTGGATACTCCAGAAATCAGAAGGCAATATTTATTGGCTCTCCGCAGTGGTCGTTGGTCGGCTTGATTGTCGTAATATTTGGAAGTAGGATGAGAGGTCCTGTAAAAATCCCAAGACAATCAGTTAGTATGCACGACAGGCAATAGTCACGGAGTCAGAAGCCGGAATGGTTAGAAGCACATTATATTTTCACGATTACCAGCAGCAAAAGATGTAATTACCGCCACAACCAAAAAAGTGTGGATGATATAAACAACATTCGTTTTTACAATCATTAGGAAGAATGTACAGAATGTGTAAAAAAACGATGGAAAGAAAATATTGCTTTTAGTTAAAGTGGTTTATACACAATTTTATGCAGCCTCCACACCAGTCACCTCATACTGTCAAGGTTTACAACCTCATAAACTGATTTGCCTTCTTTACCTAGCTCTCTGTGTCTAACGTTTGTTTTGGCAACATGGTAGTTTCATTACAAACAACTGACTAAATAACTGAAACCTTTCTAAATTTCCCAATTGCAATGAACACGTTCTACAGTCATATTAGTAGACCACGGTGCAGTTCACTCAATTCTTTATAAATTTTGCTATATTACTCTGGCTTTTCAGAAACTGCGTCAGATGATAATCCTTCAGGTTGATGTGAATTTCTGGCCTTGTGAAGATGATTACTGACCCACACTTCGCTCCCACCTATCGTGTGAAATGCTGGTGTAAATTATCTAGCACACACGGATGCGGAACATGATAAGAAAAGTGAAATTAGTTGGTGGGAGACAATTGGTATGAAGTATTGAACCTAGGTCTCATGCTCCTTGGCACGATTTAATAATGTGTATCTGCAACCTCAAAGGAACTGATACCCTGTTTGAGACTCGAACCTACGTCACCCAGTGCTGTAGTCAGAGACGTTACCATTGAACTATTCAAACAGCCACTGACCTCCTGTAGAACTGGGTTAGGTACATCGATTGTTTGGTACTTATGTTATGATCAGGCCTCGTAGTTTAGTTAGTGGGACAAAATATCAGTCGTTTCAGTTATACTTTTTTGAACTTAGTTGATTTATCGTAACTTTTATGAGTTTATCACATTACAATCTACTAAATGACTATTTACAATTCCACCGAATTCTTCACCAAATTTCAGGTAACAACATCAGAAAATGTCAATTCACACAGGTTTTCTTCTACATTGACGACAACAGGTGCTAATTACTCACTTGGACGACATCAGCTTTCATCAACACCACGATTATGTTTTGATTTATATCCTCAAAAAAAGTATCTAGGCAACTGATGTAGCATTTTAATTTGTCAGTATTTATTATTATTTTTAACTAATGAATATTTCTTACTGACCAATATTTTCATACAGCTTTGAAACTGTTTCCATACATGATTAGATTAAATGTGTCAATGATTGGCCTGTAAATTCACTTTGTTTCCTTATTTAAAATGTACAAATACTCACAGACACTTATCCAACTTTTTTTTATCCGTCGAGTTTAAGTTTAATGTAGTTGAGTTTGTTGTTTCTTTAACTACAGATAGATGGAACAGTCTGCAAAGACAGGGTAATCGGATGAGTCATTAAAACAAAAGTAATTCTTTTCAGTGCGATTCATTGTAATATGTAAATCTTTTTACCCAAGGAATACGTTTGGTTGATGTGAATCTGAAAAGCTTTGATTCCTAATTGATATCGTCTGGCGTTAGCTTAAGTGGTGAAACTATAGTTTTTGAGTTTTTAAGCCATTCTCAAGTGACCTTGAACGCACCAATAAGAATGCAGATGTTTATTCGATGAAAAGGATAAGGAATTACAATGGATGTTGTTGTTTGACGTGATGTAAAGTGGAAATAGGTACAATAAAGAAATTCGGTCCGTGACTCTAAGGAGATTAATCTATGCAAGCTGTAATATTGGTGCATATAAGCCTTCAAACGACTTCATATTGCTTCTGCATAACAAGTATGAAATCTTATCAAAGGACCTATGAAGTGCTGCTTATAGACAACAATGTGGCGATCATATCCCAACCTTCTCAGACATCGATATGCTCTGTAGTCATTGGTGTAAACAACAGTTACCGGAAAAAAAATGTATTTCTTAATAAATGGAACTAATGCCATAATCTTGCGATTGTTTGCTTTCTGAGGTTGTCCTATTCCAGATTCCAAAAGCCTGCATGCACAAAAGAAGTAAACAACCTACCCATTTTTTCTTTACGTTTCTGTCACGAATGTATATCCTTTTCCTTATCATTGTTTCATCTATCTCGGCTACTTCACCCTGCCCACCGAAGACCATAGCCATTTTGCACAGTTTGAGTACAGATACCTCAACACTGCTGATACTACTGTAGGGTTCTGTGTTACTATTCATCCATCCATCCAAAACAACCCAGGACCAGGCATTACTGCGTAACGGTTCGAGTTGCCACACCTCATATCAGTACATCAAGCAAAAAGGCAGTGAAGTAGAAGCTGAAGAGAAGAAAACTCAGTCAAAAGAAATGTAAAGTACGAAAAGAGAGAAAGGAAGAATGGGAAAATGGTGAGATTCGGTATAGCGTCGTTAAGATGAGGATAATGTGTGTATACATCTCCGCCACTGACATCGGTTCTGAGCCATATCACCTAGGGTCTCCAACCACTGGTTACTCTTGTCCCACGGACCCCAACCACCTAGTCTGTATTGCCCCACATGGCTCAAACCAACAGTCAAAGACTTCATACATTGATGCCATGTTTTATTCTGGCCACCTCGGGCCTTTTTCCAGTCTTGATCTACTTCGGCCAACATTGTGTGACGAGGCAATCGGCGACTAGGCATACGTAGTATAAGTCCCAACCATTTCAGTCGATGAAGGTTCACAACCTAGTCAACCGACTTACCTCTTCTCCCCAAAACTCTATACCTGACTTCTGCATTACTCACGTGGTGACACCACGGAATACGACCTATAATTCGAAGGCGAGGGTGGTCAATCACCTGCAGCCGGCCTTCTCATGTCTTCCACCTTCAATGGCCACGTTTCACAGCCATACAATAGAACAGAGCGGACTGCTGTGCAGTACATGCGACCCTTAGTAGACAATCGGATATCACAGGTGGCGCAAATTGGCAAAAGCCAACCAAGTCTTTGTATCCGTGCAGAGATTTCACCGGCCACTGAGCCATCAGGGCTGATCCTACTTCCCAGGTAAGTGAAGTGGTCGACACACTTAACCACTTCACTCTCTATCGTTAGCTGCGGTACCCCTGATGACCAGTCCTGGAGCAACAATTTGCATTTGGGTGGTGAGAAACGCATCCAAAACATTCTCGAATTGCCACTCAGTGTTCAGAAGACTCTGCATCCTCGCCTAACAGGAAAATGTCATCTGCATATTCTAGGTCAAATGAAAATTCTCCGGCAATTAGGTCAACGTCTGCGTAACCTGGTGACGAGAGGGAGATCTCCATAAGAATATCTATGATAAAATTGAATAAAAATGGAGACAATGGGCACCCTTGATGGATACCACTCGATAAGTACAGCTCATCTGACATATCACCATAGGCTCTAACACACCCACAAGTGTTCGAGAAGAAAGTTTTCAATACGGTGATGTACTTAGTCGGCGTGCAGTTCACTGAGAGACATTGCCATAAGACTTCTCGACCAATCGAATCGAATGCCGCTGCCTTCAGGTCCAGAAACACAGCTATTGTCGGGAGTCGGTTAGCGTGTCTGTGTTCCAAAACCTGGCGGAGTGTGAATATTCGGTCGATACACCCACGGCCGGGTCTAAAGCCTGCCTAGTTTTCTCGGGCTTGCTGTTTCCGAGCTCCACTCATGTGTCGAAGAATTATAGAACCTAGAAGCTTAGACACTATGTTCGTCAGGCTGATTCCTCTGTGGTTATCACAAGAGGACTTCTCGCCTTTCTTGAAGACTGGGATATCAGTGATTCAGACCAGTCAGAGGGGATCGTATTTGGTTCCCACATACTGGTTTACACTTCCGTTAACCTGACGAAGAGCACTCCACCACCATCCTTGTATATCTTAAGAGGTAGTCCGTCTGGTCCTGCTGCTCTTCCATGTTTCAGGTTACCTACCGCTTTCTCAACCTCGCATAGTGTTGGGGGGCCTATCTCAATGTTCCACTCAGGATCCGACTGGATAGCGGACAACACAATGGTGGCTGGAGGCCAGTTAAACTGCTCCTCGAAGTGTTCTGCCCATCGTTCTGGTCGTCGCCCCTGCGAGTGAATCGCAGATCCCTCTTTCTTCGCTATGGTCTGGCTAACCGCAGTAGACGTTTTCCCCAAGTTTTCATAATGAGTCAAAATAACTGTCTGCTGTTACCAGTCGCTGCCGCCTTTTCCATCTATTTAGCCTTGGCTGCCCACCATTGTTCACGTCGTTGCGCAGACTTTTTCTCAGTCTACCTTCAAGTTGTGCCCGCTCTTCATTGTACTCGGGGCCTGCAGGGATGCGTTCGCGTGCATCCATTAGTTCAGAAGCTCCTGATATCCACTGGCTCTTTTTAGCCACTCTCTCGGAGTCGGCTACAGTCTTCAGAGCTGCTTTTACAACAGACTGGAGATGGTACCATGTGATAGTACCGAGTGATAGTCTTCTGTTCCGATAACTGCCTAGCCAACTTCTCACTGAACATGGCCTTGGTGTTCTTGTTGTCCAGCAGTACTCGTGGTGGTTTTGTTGCAAATTTTTCCAACGTCCATTGAGACGCAGACATACACGCGCTCGGACCAACGCGTGGTCGCTATCCAAGTATGTACTCCAGAAGGAGCGGCAATCTTCCACCGATCCTCTCCAGTGATGACTAATACTAATGTGGTCTATCTGTGTCTATCTCTGGGTTGAGCTCGGTGGACGCCACGTCAGACAGGGTCTTTTCTTATTTCTGAAATGGGTGCTAGCTAAAAATAGGCGGTTATCTGAACATAGTTGCAATAGGCGGTCACCGTTATCTGTACGTTCAGCCGGGATTCTGTATGCCGCCAACTGAGGTCTTGTCTAGTATTGGTTGCAGTTGTCTGTAGAATTCCTCCTCTTTCTCTTTCTCTTGCTCTGCATTATTTGTAGGTACACAGTGTAGCATTGAATGATTGTGACTTTCCTTCCTTCCTTCCTTTTGAGTTGAACATTGCTGTCATGATCCTGATGGTGGATGAGATTGGTTCCCACTGCATGAAAGCCTTCGATGCGCTTGGGGACATTATGATAGCCACTCCATAACTCAGTGTGCTCGAGGTTGTCGTGTGGGTGACAATATCGGAGTAGATTATTGATTCTCCAGTTGACGGTTGGGAGACTCCACTCCCATTCCATCTGCTTTCGCAAATCCCAAGCACTTCGATGTGATACCTTCTCATCTCCTTTGCAATCTGGGCTGCCTTACTGGGTTCAAACATCGTACGGACATTCCATGTCCCCACGTTTACTTTCGCTTTCATCGAGAGAAGACACATCGGCCAATTGGCTTCCCGAAGTCAGGCTTTCACCAACTGGCATCATTTCACCTCTCCGATTCCAGCGAGGAATAAGTTTGTTTTCATTTTTTATATTTTGTTTGTGCTTTGAAATTTGTTTAGCGGTTGGATTTGTTTTACGGGGTAGGGTTGCTAGCCCTACGCGCAACCTTCCCTGTTTACCCGGGCTTAGGACCGGCTAGTAACTAGTGAACTAGTTAACCAGGCGAGGTTACTTGAGTTTATTTACTGTTGTTCAATAAAGGAATACATACACACAATACAGACTAAGACATTGACTGAGGCATGATAACACGGAGTGAATCATTTACTTATGTCAAACAAAGCTAAGATTGATAATTTGGTTGGTTATGGCCAACAGAAAAATCCTGGACGCGCGTTTCGTCCTATTTGGGACTCGTCAGCTGGATGTACCTGCACACCAGTGATGTTGTTGCTACTAGGATTCGAACCTCGAACCAAATAGGACGAAACGCACGTCCTGGATTCTTCTGCTAGCCACAACCAACCAATTTATCATAATTAACATTCAGGCAATATCGAGGTGTCCGCATAGTAGCCCATATGCCAATAGAGGTCGAACAATTCGATCCAACAAAACAACGGAGAATAACAAGTATGTCAATAAGTAGTGAAAAACTAAGATTGTTACTATTTTGTACCAAAAATATTCAGTTCCAGTTCAACGGTCAGTTATGTCGTCAGATCGACGGCGTCGCAATGGCAAGCCCGTTGGGACCACTTTTTGCTGACTTATTTCTTTCAAGTCTATAGAAAGTTCCATCTGCGGAAACCCTTCGTGTGCTGGATATTATCTCCACTTCAAGAGTTTTGTTGCAGTTCAATATAAAAAGAACCTAATCTAAACCCTGTTGGATAGGACAGAGAAAATTTCCTCTGAGAGAACCGTTGATCATGAAATTAAAACATTGAACCATATCCTAAATATAAAAATAGCTACCCTGAAGGATTTGTCAATAAGTATTCGAAAAGTAG